ATATATATATATATATATATATATATATATATATATATATATATATATATATATATAGTATATATATATACTATATAATATATATAAAACTATTCTACATACTGTTGTCTATCTACGCCTAAACCCAACAGAAAGAAATCCAACAAATTAAATCTTCTTCCTCTCAATAAACAAATAAAAACCTTTTTATGTTATTTTAATTATTTTATTTTTATTCGTTTATTTATTATATTTTCTCTTTATTCTTTTTCTTATTCTTTTCTCTCTTCCTCTTTACTCTGTCTATCACCACCACAGCTCCCCTCACCAGACTGGGGGCCCCCCTCAAACATCGGGGGGCCCCCTGGGGAGCCCCCCTCTAACAACGGGGGCCCCTCTGGGGGGCCCCCGGGGCTGGTACCCTCGACAACTGAGGGGCCCTCGAGGGGGCCCCCTTGCAAGCTCACTGGGGGCCCCCCTTCGGGGGCCCCCTGCACGCCTGAGACATCCCCAGGCGTGGCGCACTGCAGGGTCGAGGGGGGGGCCCCCAGGGGGGCCCCCTGGGGGGTTGAGGGGGCCCCCAGGGGAACATCCTGCGGGGTTGAGGGGGCCCCCAGGTGGGCCCCCTGCGGGGTCGAGGGGCCCCCCTGCGGGGTTGATGGGGCCCCCAGGGGGGCCTCGTGAGGGGTTGAGGGGCCCCCCGGAGAGGTTCCTGTTGGGGGCCCCCATCGGGGGGCCCCCGATGCTGATGAGGTTGGTGGTGATGCAGTGATTTTTTTGTGTTCTTTTTTTCTGTGTCTTCTGGGTGTCCATGGTGTTGAGAGAGATTGCTGCATGTCTTGCTGCTGCTGCTGCTGCTGCTGCTGCTGCTGCTGCTGTTGCTGCTGCTGCTGCTGCGCTTGGAAGATTCTAAGACAGACTTCCTGCTGCAGCAGCTGCCGCTCAAGCATCAGCTGCTGCTGCAGCAAACGACGACGGGTTGATGGGGTATTGGTGGCGCTGCTGCGGAGGCTCTGTGCTGCAGCAGCAGCAGCAGCAGCAACAGGAGGCCTGCTGCGTTGCTGCCGTATGCGTCTCGTGAAGTTTCTTTTGCTGCTGGTTGTTGGTGTTTGTGCTGCAGTCCCTTCTGCAGCAGCACAGAGTTGAATAAATCAGAGGCAGCACGGGGTAGAGAAGAAGAAGAACGTTTTCTAGTT